GCCCTTGACTCGACGAGTCCGGTCGCGGATTCAGAAAGATAAGCATTCGGAAGTCAAGATAGTTATCGGATTACGACTATTGTGAGAGAGACTCGACGAGTCACCATATGACTCGACGAGTCGGAACGCATATATAAAGATAACTCTACAATGCGAGAAGGGAGAATTCTGGGAAGTTTCAGAAGTGTTTAGCTGCGAATAAGAAGCCAGAAGAACCCTAGAAGTCGACCAAAGAAGCTAGAATCCAATCCCGGGAGTAATTAAGGCGTAATTTCACCATTCTACTTAATTCTTTTGTTTTGTCAACATGATTAAGCAACTTGAACTTATTTGTTTGCTGTTATTTACCTTAGTTATGAACTAATTTCTTTATACTTCTGTTTGGGGATACAAAGTTGACAATATGGTTTGATTGATTGGTAGGATTAATTCCAAGTTGGTGATTAATTGTTATTTTAGCTTGCTAAAGAACCTTGTGTGTGAATGATAATTAATTTTCTGTTAATAGGAAGATAATTGATTAGCATGAACATCTATTGATTATCAACCTCATATGATATGTGACCACTATATCATATGTCTAGGATTAATGAATATGAAACTAGGATTAATAAGGAAATTGAGTAAACTCATGTGCAAGCTTGTAAGATGACCATCGAACAAGAGGTTAATTAAGAATAACGAATTAATTAGCTATTGCAAGTCTAACTTAACCCGAATAATTAATCTAGTAAATATAATTAAATTAAGCAATTGGCCACTGTTTGAATTAGTTTATTTGCTAAGGATTAGGGTAGTGAACACAAACTTAATCACTTGAATCGGTAACCAACGAAAGAATTAATCCATTGCACTATTACCTTAAAATCAACCATAAAGTTAACCGAGTTGAACTAAACAGAAGTTTCTTTCCCATTATTGAATCTAGTTAATTTGTTCTTTTCTAGTCTTGCATTAGTTTTAGTTAGTAAGTTTCTAGTCTTGTAAAACTAGAGAAAAAACCCCTATTTGCTTAATCAACTTAGATAGAATTAGTTTTTAATTTAATTTGCCGTTCCCTGTGTTCGATACCCTGCTTATTTAGCTATACCACAATTGATAGGTTCACTGCCTTTTGTGTGTTATTTGATAATTAAAGTAGGATTAAAACTAAGTGAGTTTTACACACATCAATTGTTGAGGCCTGTTGGAGGTTATGGCTGGAAGCAAGGGTCGGTTCGGTCCACATGCCCGCCATCGAATAGATAGGTGGTGTATGAGCTGCCATAGTCTGTGCCAGCGGGGGCAAGGAAAGCATTGGGCCTGGTCCACCCGTCATCTGATTGAATGGTGGTACCAAGAGCAACGGATGAATGTTGAGAACTTGGCTGGGTGGTAGCATTGTTGAGTGGACCGATGGTGGTTGCTGCGTTGTTGGTACAAAGAAAGGCGACATCTGAAGGGATGTGGTTAAGAATGGCCCCGCCGGAGTTGTTCTTGGTTGGTGAGTTTCCAGTTGTGAGGCGGTGTCGATGGTTATCGTAGAGCTTCCCTCACCTAGGGCTGCTCTGTTGACCGCCGTGGGCGGAGGGCTTTCGTCCAACTTTGCCATGAAGTGTATGGGACTAGCCTAACGGCCACCGTGTCCATCGCTGCCGTCAGACGCCATTGATTCTTCAGCCTTTTGCTTTTAGTTTGTGTTCTTTATCTCACAAACTGATGGCGCCATATGATGCGACCTGGCGTTCAACCGGATTAGCACTACTGAATCAGGTTCCTCGTCGCCTCTGCAAGATCATAAGAAAGAGAGGCTGTTAGCCATTTCCCGAGAGGGTGCTCCCGGAAGAACGCTCCGACGGTCAAGTTAGAAGGTATCTAGGGTTCTTGGGTGTCTGATGTACTGTGAAGAGCTTACCTCTTGATTATGAGAGCGTATCCCTTTATACCTAGCGCTCTTGCCTAGTATGTACTAGACAAGATCGCTATTGAGGAGACAAGATCAGGGGCGCTGATCGGAGGGTCATGCGCCTTCAACTGTTAGGGCGCTCTCATTGGCCCTGATGTTAGGGGCCTGATGCTACTGTCTGTCTCCTGACCGTATCTTTTGTCTTGGAGCTAGGAGCGTCCCTTGGTGGGCGCGAGTTCTTAGTCGGGGAGACATAAATGCCTTTTGGCGGGCGCGAGCCCCTCGCCTGGGCTTTCTTTTCCAGGAGCACTGGCGGGTGTTGAGCCGGCTGGTGCGCTAGGCTCTTTAGCTAGATGCAATTCTGTCGTTTCGTCTTAGGCACGTCATCACTCAGTATAAAAGGACGTTCACCCTGCTTTGATGGGTAAGCAATCCTTCCCAAATCCTTACCCCTCATACTCATTTACTATACTGACTTGACCATCAGAGCATTTTTACGGGACCTCCTCCTGGAAAGCGGCTGGCTGTTTTCCTTTCCTTGTAACCTTTCAGGTTTCCTTCGACGATCGTTACAAGTAGCCTATGTGGTTAGAGTCCAGGTCGCATCAACCCATTATGGTCAGGTCTGGATTCCGATGTCTGGTGGGGTCAGACAGGTTGTCTTAGAGGAGGCTCATAAGACTTTCTTCTCTATTCTCCTCGGGGCCACCAAGATGTACCGAGATTTGTGTTTGAGCTATTGGTGTCCAGGGATGAAGAGGGATATTTCATGGTGATGCGAGCTGGTCTCCGACCACCTAAGCTGTTAGTAAGGATCGTCTGAGGGAAACCTGAAAAGTCACAAGGAAAAGAAACCGTCAGCCGCTCTCCGGGAGGAGGTCCCTGAAAAACGCTCCGACGGTCAAGTCAGTATGGTGGATGAATATGAGGGTTAAGGATCGGGGAAGAATAGCTTACCCATCAAGGTAGGGTGCTCGTCCTTATATAGTGATGATCCTCCTCGATCCGTATGAGGGACAAGGACTGCGATACCGACAAGACCCACCGTCCTTATTGGTGGGTCGTGCTCCTCGTAGTGTCAGAGCCAAGGATTGGTCCAAACGATAATGCTCTGGATGTGCTTGTCGCCTGGATCTGTTATCCTTGGACTGTGACGAAGGACAATGTTTGGTGAGGGCGGGGCTCTTGCACGGTCGCCCAACTGGAGCCCCTGGTGGTCAGATCGGCAGAGTCGGGCTCGGTCGGGCCTCGTTGGAAATTCCTTTTCGGGGGTTCTCTTATTTCTGGCCCGCTCTGAGGGGCGTGTCATCAAATCCCCCAGTCCATTAGTTATAGTGTATGCTAGCTATCTATGATGTTTTGGACTTAATTGCCGGTATACGTGTCGTGTCTTTGTTTGGTCATCGCTTCATATTTGGTGATGTGACCTCTCGACGTGCGCGACAGTTACGTAAAGCGTGTCAGGGGTTTTCGTAAATCCTGCTCTTTTTCCCTTTATAGCTTGTGAGCAGATTTTCCCTAGTTTCTACCTCCTTCTTGATAGTTTCATTTTATTTACTTCTTTTTATAATTTTTTTTAGCACATTTCATTCACATTTTACTTAATTTCCATGCATATTTTCCTTTTTGTTATTTTTATGACCATTTCGGGTACTTTCTAGTTTCTTGAGCATTATTGCAGATTTTCTTGGAGACTAGCTGAGCGGGATTCTTGGGAGGCGATTGGGCTTGAAAGGAAACTGGGATTTCATGCTTGATGGCTATGGAGGTGATTCATGGAGTGGACTTGTCAATTGCTTGAAGGCTTGAAAGTGTTGAACTTTAAAGTTGAAAGGTACGGGAAAACTCCTGAGTGAGCAAGATCGATGTTTAGGAGTTTGCGGAAGTTTTGAGTGATGTGGAGAGACAAATTGGGCTTAAATTGAAGAAATATTGAAGAAAAAATGGGCTAGAAGCTGATTGGATTCGAACTGGGCCAATGGATTAGCTGTGGGGGCCCAAGACTTGAAGAAGCCCAAAATTCCCGTTAGTACCCGCGGCCCGGGTAAGATTCCCCGCGGCCCGCGTGGATTCCTGACAAGGGCAATTTCGGGATTTTGCTAAGAGCTCTATATTGGGAAGGTTGGTGTGCCTCTTTAGCATCATCTTAAAGGTCTGAGTTTGGCTTGTTCTCTCTGGAGTTTGGAGTGCTTTTGAAGGCGAAGAACACCTCAAGAACATCTTGATTTCACCTCTTTATTATTTTAAAATGTTTGGTATAATCTCATCTAACTTTTTTTCTTTGAGTTTAGTCATGCTTGGCTAAACAAATCTTGGTTGATTTCTTGTTGAATCCTTTGAACTTTTGTTGAATGTTGAAGAATCCATGAACTTGTTCTTAAATCTTTATGGAAATGTTTTGTGTTTTATCATATTATCAGTACTAGTATGTTTTTATTCATGAGTTTAAATGTGTTTGTGGTGATTAGTTGGCTAATTTGTTGATTAAGTAAAGGATCCTCAAATTAGCAAGCAACAAATGATTTTTGTGTTGTTTTTGCTTCACACAATCTTAAAAACATCTCCTCCAACATGGTGGTGAAAGCATTTGACCCCTCTTGGATTTGGTGACTTTTTGGTTCTTAATGCTACTTGACTTTCACTAATTACATGCTTAATGAAAATTGTGACTTTGACTAAGGAAATTGTTAAGAGCTTCTCTAACCATTTTAACAACTAAGAAAAGTCTAGGTAATCTCAAGCTTCTTGGATTATTATAGCCAAATTGAGGATTTAAATCAAAGTATTGCACCATTGGATTCTAATGATATGTTCATCAAATGTCAAAGCGAGGAAACTTTAAGTCAACCATCTCTCACTTATTGATTTTACATCAAATCCTTATTTTTGTTGAAATTGTCTATTTAATTGATAGTTAATTCTGGTTTGTTTCAAGTATTTCAATACACCAAATTCCCCCATTTTATTTTTATTGTTATTTTACAAGTATCTTTACAAAGAGATTTTTCATATACTATTTTAGTGTGTAATATTTAGGGTTATTATTTGTGTTGGCCTCGACAACTGCCACTTCTCTCGTTTCCTTCTCCTTTTATTCTTTTCCTGTATCTCCTTTATGGCTTCTTCCATGAGTTTGATCCCCAGTTCCTCCGAATTCACCACTCTTCAGGAGGCTTATGGCCTTACTCCGGCAGACGGAGTGGAGTTTCCAGTTGCTGGAGTTGTGATCACTTCACCACCGTCTGGGAAGGTAGGTGTTTATCAAAAACTTTCGACGTCGGCCTCCGCCTTCCACTAACCAATTTCCAAGAGGAGATACTCTGGCGCAATGGATGCAGTGTTCAGATGTTAACCCGTGGTGTTGTCCACAAGATAGTAGCTTTTGATATGATATGTTGGGCTAATGGCATCGTCCCTGACTACTTCGTCTTCAAGTTCTTTTTCCGGCTTGCAGCTACTAATGACAAGTATAATTTTTGTGCTTGTCGGGGCGGTCATAATATTGTCCTTAACAGCAAACCACCAAAGAATTGGCAGGACAAGTGGTTATGGGTCAACCAGGAACTACTTGTCCGGGAATACCATCGGGCGAATGCTTTGTCGGATGTTACTCCCAAGCTGTTTCCTTATAACCAAGCGACTTCTGATTTCTTGAGTGCTCTTCAAGTGGACATTGATGCAGTGTCGGAGGTGCTACTTGTCGGGGTTGGAATAAGTCCTAGATGGCGTGCCTAGGGGAGATGTTCGTTTTCTACACTATCTCTAATGGTGAGTTGTTCTTGCTACTCCTCTTCTTTCCCCCCTCCCCCCTTTTTTTACTGGGGTATGGGATGTCTTATGCTTGTTCTTTCTGCTTCCTCATTTTATTATTTTATTATTTGTCTTTGTTTTACAGGTACCGAATGCTCTGTTTCCATGGACTCTGTTCTGCGAAAACAGTATCAGGGGAAGTTGGAGCACCGAGTGGTACCTTTGTATGAGACTCGGCATCCGAACCGTCACTTGAGCATCTCTACTGTGGCGCCTATACAGCCAGTGGGGAGTTCTACTACGTCGGGGAGCCATCCGGTTCCTAATGTTGCCTTGTCTTCTGTCGTGATACCTTGCCTGCCAAGCGAGCCGTCGACCGATGATGTGGTGGATAGTAAGGACGGGATCATTACCAGCGTACTTCGAGCTGCAGAGAAAAGGAAAGCTGCTCAGGCGATGAGTAGGCCAGCATCCAGGGGCAGTTCTGGTCAAATTGGTCGGCGTGTGGTGCAACGTCGTTGGCTTATGCGTTTGCTATCTTCTGCATCGCCACACCATGGAGATGTGTTGGTGATACCCAATGATGACGTTCAACAGTCTGAGGGTATTGAGGGGGGGGGGGTCTCAACAGGATATTGCTCTTGTTCCGATTTCTTTGATTCTTGGTGTTAATCCTTAGTCCTTAGGTGTTGAAGAAGCTGGTGTTGGAGGATGTTCAAGTGCTTTGGAGGCTAGAGTGGAGTCTCTGACACAAACGAATGAGGGTCTAATGATACAAAATGAGAGCCTGGAATGCGACCTTATCAACCGCGAGCGTGAGTTGGAAGCGTTAAGGGCTGATTGTAGTTGGCTGCTCCAGGTTGGTCTTGTGCATGTGATGGATAAGCTCATAGAACATCCTAAATTTACAGGGGGTATCAGCTGCATCCGCCACACTGTGTTTGTTTCAGGTGAAGAGTCAGGCTAGGCGATTTTGAAGGCGTAAGTTGATGTTGGGACTTATGACCCTTATGCTAGTGATTCACGTTCGAGCCACTCCTCAACTCTAGATGATGCCCTTCTGGCTTTTGCAACTATGGATTTTGCAGGTTTACTTGGATTGGGCCAGCTGGATGTGGATGGGGTGAAAGCGTTGTGTGTATTTGATAAAGCTGAGGATGTAGGATCAAGTCTTGTTGAAGGTTACGTTGCTAGAGTGGCTAATGGGGTTGGAACTAGTGCAGGTGGTGACGACGCCTGAAGTTGTTTTAGAGCTTCCATTCGGGGTGTGAAAAGATTTGATGTATCTTGGTTTTTATTTTGTTTTGTTTTTGAACAATTTGTGACCTCTAAGGCTTTTTGAACAATTTGTGGTCTTTAAGGCTTTTTATCATGATATGTTGACAATGTTTTGCATGAAAAAATGATGGCTTTGTTTGTTTACTTTATTTATCTTGGTTCAAATTCTAGACGTGTCAAACCTCCTTTGTAGGTTTTTTCTGTTTGTTATGACTCTATTATGAGATTTGTCATTTTGTTGTGTGTGCATGTGGATCCACTAAGTATCCTCTATGTTGTGTTTTTTGCTTTATCAAACATACTCATTGTGCAGAACATATCAAGACTAGTGCATTCTCTTTTATTTATGCAATCCTGATACATGCTATTTTCTGAACTATAATTCCCTATTGGACTGCTCTAAGCATTCGCCTGTTGGGGTTCTCAACAAACTGCAGCCCGTTGTCACTGACCAAGACTTTGGTTGCCCCAAACATCGTTATAATGTTCTTCCATACGAACTTAATCATATGTTTTCCAGTAATGCATGCCAATGGTTCGACTTCTATCCATTTCGTGAAGTAGTCAACTGCCACGACTAGGAGCTTCACTCTCCCTGGAGACTTTGGGAAGGGACCGATGATGTTGATTCCCCATTGATAGAAAGGCCATAGACTGAATATACTCGTCAACTTGGCTGGGGGTACTCCTTGCGCTGGTGAGAAAGTTTGGCACTCCACGCACGTCCGAGTCAATTCGACGGCGTCTTGGTGTATGTCCGGCCAATAGAGCCCCATGCGTAGTACTTTGCTTGTGAGTGCCCATGCTCCTTAGTGGGCTCCATCTGATCCCGCGTGGGCTTCTTTTAGGGCCTTTTTCCCTAACTCGCCAACTACGCATTTGAGGCACAACGCCATGTAGCCTTTTCTATACAGCGCTCCACCCAGGATCGCATACTGGGGGGCTCGTATCCTTGTTTTTCGTGCCTATCCGTGGTCGTCGGGAAGTATGTCGTGTTGTAAGTAGTCTATGATGGGTGTCATCCACTTAGGTTGTTCCATACACAGAGAATCGACTTGGCGTTCGTCAATACTCCTTTCTTTTAGCACCTCCACCAAGACCTCCTTAGAGAGATACCCAAAACATGTTGATGCGAGCTTGCTAAGGGTATCTGCGCATCTATTACTTCCCCTCGAGATCTGTTTTATGGTGAAGCTCTTGAGCGATCTCGTAATACACTAGACTGCTTTGACATACCTTTACATCCATTTATCCTTTGCTTCAAATTCTCCCGTGACTTGGTTGGCCGCCAAGTGTGAATCAGTTAAAGCTACGATCCTTTCCGCCCACATTTTTACAACCAATCTGAGGTTGGCTAACAAGGCTTCGTATTCGGCTTCGTTGTTGGACGTGTAGAAGTCGAAACGCAAAGCGTACATGATTTCTTCACCCGTGGGGCTGGTCAAGATTAGTCCTGAGCCCGAGCCTTCCTTGTTGGAAGCTCCGTTTGTGTAGAGTCTCCACTGCTATTTGGTCTTTTCTTCTTGGTATCTCTGTTGGCCCGTGCCGGTCATTTCTTGTTGTAGTTCCCCCGGGATTTCCAACAGAAAATCTGCCAATGCTTTCCTTTTGATGCTTATCGTAATATGTTAGCTAATGTCATGCTCTCCTAGTTCTATGGCCCATTTTGTGAGGCATCCTGATGTCTCTAGATTTAGGAGTACTTGCTTGATCGGGAAATTGGTTAATACCTCTATCTGGTGGGCCTGGAAGTACCGACGAAGTCGCCGTGTCGCGTAGATTAAAGCAAGCACCAAATTTTTGATGATTGGGTAATTAACTTCTAGCCCATGCAGGGCCCGACACACAAAGTAGATCGGAGTTCCCGTCCTTGCCTTTCGACTACTAGTACTGACGAAATGACATCCTTTGATGTGGACAGATAGACTTGCAGCGCCTTGCCTGGTACTGGGCTGGCTAGAGTAGGGAGCGTGTGTAATGCCTTCTTTATCTTTTGCAAGGCGGATTTGGGCTCCGGTGTCCATCAAAAGTTGTTCTTTTCTATGCACCCTTTAAGCGTGTTGTACAGGGGCATGAATTTCTCGGCTGCCTTAGAGATGAATCGATTGAGCACCATTAGTTTTACATTCAGCCCCTCGGTGTCCCTTAGTGTGTTCGGCGAGGGTGTGTCTTCAAGCTCGCTGATTTTGGTTGGGCTTGGTTGGATTCCTTCCTTTGTCACTAAATATCCTAGGAATGCTCCTCCCAGGAACTCCCTTTTGATGACCATGTCGTCAACATAGACTTCGATATTTCTGCCAATTTGATTGGTAAACAGAGAGTCGACCAGTCGCTAGTAAGTTGCTCCGGCGTTCTTCAATCCAAATGGCATTTTTGTATAGCAGAAAGCGTCGTGATCCATGTAAATGACTGTTTTCTCTTCATCATTTTTGGTCATCAGGATTTGGTGATATCCTTTGTATGCATCCAAGAAACACTTCCACTAGAAACCTTGTATGGATTGCACCTTCTGGTCTATATCCAGTAGCGGTAGCAATCCTTGGGACATGCTTTGTTGAAATCCAAATAAGCGATACACATGCGCCCGCTACCATCATGCTTCTTTACCATAACTAGATTGGCGATCCATGTGGGGAAGGTGGCTTCCCTGAGGATCCCAGCACTGATCAACTTGGCCACTTCTAAATTAATTGCCTTGTTTCGATCTCCTCCTTGGAATCGCTTCTTTTGCTTTACTTCTTTGTGTTGGATTAGTGTCTAAGTCCATAACTATAATTGATATATACTTGACCCGACCCAACATGGTCCATTTGGGTTGCATGGCATCATGCATTTGGATAGACAAAAATGAGAGAAATAACACTTAAGGTTTATTTATATATTATAAGTTCTAATATATTAATAACATTATTTAATTAGTATTGATCAAGAATTAATCTAGAATTAATTAAGTGATCAAAAGAAGACTAATTAAATATATGGGATGATTGTGTAAATCATCCATATTTATATAGTGGGCTAATGCTCCATGGATTATCAAGTTGGGCTAAAACCCATAGGATGCTCCATGGTGTATTTGAACCCATGGATCCAAGGAAGTGGAAAGCCATGACAATTAGGGTTTACCCTAATTGTGACTAACTATATAATGATCTTATTATTGAAGAAATCGGCCACTAGTGAAACAAGTGAGGGCAAACCGCTTTTTGAAGTGTTGTATTTTCTCTTTAATTAGTCCAAATGCATTTGATGTTGTGTGAACCATTTGAGGTGTCAAACTTGGGGCACTAGGCTCTCAGGCTACATGGAATCGAGCACCAACAAAGAGGTATGTCATTCTACTAAATTCTATATTATTTGTACTTCATAATATGCTAGTTAGGATAAATACCTTGGAAATTGATATTTGAATGTATAATAGAGAAAACATAGATCTAAGGTATTTAGGGTTGCATGTACACCTTAGGAGTGTTAGAATGCTCAAAACCCAACACTTTGGCCCCTATTTTATCATTAGCTTGTGTGCTATGATCCCTCGGTTGCCTCCACCATGTCTGTGGGTGTCCAGGTGAACACATGTTTATATTTTTGTAACAGTTGAACCAGCGCTTTCCTTGTTGCCGCAGGAAGGGTTGTTCCCACATTTACTTGTTGGTCTGGATATTCTCTATTAATTACTTCCCCTCCTCTCGATAGGTCTGGCTTTG